CAGTTTTACAGAGATGACTGAGGTGGAGGTTTCTGCTTTGAAGAACTCTGACCAGCTGTCCAGTCTTCATCATTTTGTCGTTTCTTTGGCATGTTGTCTGCTTTAGACAGTATGTTGTTGCATTACACCATCTGAAAATCTGTGTATTTATTCATAACAACAGTGAAATAATGTGCAGTATTCAGTGTGTAAATATACATGAACTGAGACCCAATGTTTCCAGTTTCATTGAAGTTTAACCTCAAACAGAGACTGATGATCTTACTGATGATATTAGGCACACATATATATACACACACACACAATATAATTTGTCTCCCACCTCTCCTCTCACCAGTAGCTCCATTGGGTTGGTTGTTTTCTAACAATCTGACAATAGTTAATGTTCAGTCTAGAAGTCGTGGACGCCTAGAAAAGGACCAATCTCCCATTAGACTCAATCTCTTTTTATAAGCAGAAAAATGTATCAACTTCTCACAAAATTGTCTTTGGAAAATAACTTCTGATGGGATGTTGCATGAAGGGTTATGATGTTGGTTGGTTAGTGTGTGTTTGTGTGTGTTTGTGTGTGTAACCTGGTCACCACAGTTTTCTCTGACCCTGACCCCTGTCCACCTGGAGTTTTAAAATTATTCACTTTTAATGTAATTCACTTCACACATATAGTTCAGCAGTACATAAGTCAACTCTTAAAATGATTAAATGAAAAAAAATCTGCTTTCCTCTAGATAGAAAGGTCATCTTGTGCTTAAATTGAAGCTTATAAACTTGGGGAGTTTTTCTTGTACATCTGAGGCAGTGATAAATGCAATAAAATGCTTGAAAATGATCACTATTGATGACAATTCATCAGGCAGACAGACGTTTTTTTGTCTTTTGGTGTATGTTGAGGGTGATATTTGACAGTAGAAAGGCAGAAAGCCCCAGAATATTTTTCTCCTAGTTTTCCCCATGTGTCAGGATACACCATGTCAAATTTTAGGGTTATTTGACCATGTATGCAGTTACAGTATCTTAATATTTACTGTTACATAATTTTGCAAATAGCTTTTCATAAATACAGTGTTTTCTGAGCCCTGACACCAAATGGGACTGAGTTGGAGTTGGTTCCTCTCAACTTGTGATGGCCCAAGATATAAGATAACAGGAAATAATAGTGGGAAAAAAGTAGCAAAAAACATCCTGAGTGGACCTGGCTCCCGGCCTATTCGATTTCCAACCAGGAAGTAAAATTTCCAACCTAAAAAAATGGGCAAATTGTGAAAACGAGTGAGTGATTTTGCAAAAATCTGTGTTTTATCTGTGTACGAATGGTCTAACCCATCACTTTAAGACTTAAGATACATTTTTTGGGCCTTGTTATGGATTTTAAAAGCTAAAAAAATTTTTATCTGCAAATATCAAATATCGTTATCGTCTCAAAGATTTACCCATCACAAATTAAACTAAAGCTGCATACTTGTATTTTACATGCTTTCTTCAAAAGTGTAACTTTTCTGGTAAGATTCCACCACCAGGTTGTATCCAAGGAGATTTCTTTACAAGTAATGTACCGCAGTATGGCATTAAAGTTGCTTATTATTTACGCGTTTTTGCAATAAAACAAAACCTTAAAAATCTGCTTTCTACTATAATCTGCTCACTTTTCCGCAAATCTGACTCATAAATTGGCATAATTAATATCATACAGTGAAAATTCCGGGCAAAAGCAACATCTCCATAGCAACGGCCCCTGAAAGTTCCACAGTGCAGCTTTAAACAACTGTACTGGTCTAGTATTTGTCCTACACATATATGCATAATTCTTCTGGCGGTTTATGTTATATAAAAATACACAAACGCTGTTTTCACTCACAAGTTACTGCTATAAAAATTATTAAACCGTCTCTTTTCTCGCACAAACATTACACACGATTCTTTATTCATTTGAATGATTTACACGAAGAAACACATTTTTTTTGTACACTTTAAACATGATTTCAACAAAAAAAATAAGTTGTCTTATATTTGGATTTGTTAGATAATAATGTTTATGTACATTAGAGGAGTTTTTTTAGTTAAAAGTTTTGGAATTCCCAGAGTGATGTTTCGGTTTCCAACCAGAAAGTTAAATTTTCAACCTAAAAAAATGGGCAAATCATGAAAACGAGTGAATGTTTTTTGCAAAAATCTGTGTACAATGACCTGTCATAGGCACTTTAAGATTTAACATTTTGTGGGCCTCGTTATGGATTTTAAAAGCTAAAAAAATATAATATTGGCAAATATCGGATATCGGTATCGTCTCAAAGATTTGCTAATTAAAATAAAGCTGCGTACTTCTTCAAAGCTGCACTATGTAACTTTTCTGATAAAGAGTCCAGCACCAGGTTGTGTTCATGGAGATACACTATAAAGAGATTTCTTTACCGGTAATGTACCGCAGTATGGCATTAAAACGACTTATTATTTAACAGTTTTTACAATAAAACAACACCTAAAAAATTCTGCTTTCTGCTATAATTTGCAAGTCTGACCTGTAAATTGACACAATTAATATCATACAGTGAAAATTCCAGACAAATCAACAACATCTCCATAGCGACATTCCCTGAATGTTCTACAATGCAGCTTTAAACAGTGTAATGAACTGGTTTATTCTATTAGTATTTGCACTACACAAATATATAAAAAATACACAAACACATGCTGCTTTCACTCACAAGTCACTGCTATAAAAAATTATTAAACCGTCTCTTTTCTCGCACAAACATGACACACGATTCTTTATTCATTTGGACAATTTACACTAAGAAACTTTTAATTTTTTACACTTTAAACATGATTTCAACTAAATAAATAAGTTTTCTTATATTTGTATTTGTCAGTTAGAGAAGTTTTTCTCATTTTCTCATTTTTCCCTTTACAGAATTCCCAGAGTGATGTTTCAATTTCCAACCAAAAATGTAAAATTTCCACCTAAGAAAATTAGTAAATAGGGAAAATGCGTGAATATTTTTGCAAAAATCTGTGTACAATGAGTGGTCTAACCTGTCACTTTAATGTTTAAGATACATTTTTTGGACCTTGTTATGCATTTTAAAAGCTAAAAAGATATCGTATTGGCAAATATCGGAAAACTGATATCGGTATTGTCTCAAAAATTTCCCATTACAAATTAAAATAAAGCTGCATACTTGTATTTTATGTTTATTTGTTCTCTTCAAAGGTGTAACTTTTCTGGCAAGAGTCCAGCACCAGGTTGTATCCATGGAGATACACTATAAGGAGCTTTATTTACCAGTAATGTTCCACAGTATGGCATTAAAACTACTTATTATTTCACTGTTTTAACAATAAAGCAACACCTAAAAAAATTCAGCTTTTTACTATAATTTGCAAATCTGACCTGTAAATTATCATACAGTGAAAATTCCAGGCAAAGCAACAACATCTCCATAGCGACAGCCCCTGAAAGTTCCACAGTGCAGCTTTAAACCGTGTAATGAACTGGTTTATTCTACTATTATTTGCACTACACAAATATATAAAAATACACAAACACACGCTGCTTTCACTCACAAGTTACTGCTATAAAAAATTATTAAACCGTCTCTTTTCCCGCACAAACATTACACACGATTCTTTATTCATCCGAGTCCGCTCTGATTTTAAAAAACATCATCACATATTAACCACAAGGTCCTTATTTACATGTTTGATCTGACTAACAATATAGTAATTAGCCCGAGCTGCTTTCAAAGACTCTATTAAAGCATCGGAAAACATAACAAGTCAGCGATGAATAAAGTATACTGATAAATATTTCACAAAATACCGATAATTGTATAACGCATTCATTATGTGTGGAAGACGTGCTTATGAATAAATGAACGCGGGGTCCGGTCTGTTACGTGAGGCCCGTTCATTCACGACGAGCGGCGGCGCGTGGAAGTTTTAAAGGGCTAAAGCGCCATCTGCTGGTCGATGTCGAAACAGAGCAAAAAGAAAAGGCATCTGGAAGAGCAATGAGTATGAACTTTTTTAAAAAAAAATTACTAAAACTGAAAATATTTGACGTACAAAATTTACACATTCACTCATATTTATTATATATATTTTTTATTTTATTGTAATTTTTTTATGTCGATTCGTTAAAAATAGACTGTACACTAAATTATAAGACACATACACAGTTTAACTTACAAAAAATATATTAATTTCTTTTTTTTTATATTTCCACAACAGCCAGTTTTGTTTGTATTAAAGCTTACAGCGAGTAAATTAATTTAAAAAATGTATTTATTGAAATGACTTAATAATAATGATTCTTTTGCGCGGCGTGTCTCTTATTTTAATTATGAATAAGAACAATTTTAATAAATGTTAAGGCTAAACATCTCCTTATTATGCTTTAACATCTTTTAATTTAATAATGTTTTTAAATATCAGATTTAAAAATTCAGCGTGTTAAATATTTACAATAAATCACTAGTTTATTTTTCTTCTGCGTTTTTTTTTTTTTTAAGTGACATAATGTGGTGAAGTTTGGATAAATGTTTAAGGAAATTAAATAAATGTGAGTTTTTGGGTTGGTTAAATTAACAATGTTTTTAAAAACTCAAATGATTTTGAGCTTTACAAAAATAAATACAAAATTAACCTATTTCAAATGTATATACTTATTTTTTTTATCAGTCTGTTTTTATTTTATTTTATTATTTATTTTATGTTTTTTATGTTTTTTTGTTATTTTATTAATTTTTTATGTGTTTATTTTATTTTATTAAATTTGTATTATTATTATTTATATTTCATTGTTTCTTGACGTTTTGTTGTAACTGCTCCAAAAATCAGACAAATCATAATTTCTTCTCAATTAAAAAATCTTTCACTTTTTTAAATTATGTTTTTCTCTCCGTCAAAACTCCTTCTCTCTTTTCGTCTTTGTCTCTCCTCCTCTCTTCTCTCTTCTCTTCTTCTCTTCTTCTCTTCTTCTCTCACAAACTCGTCTCTCTGCCTCACATGTGAATCCTGCCCCTGTCCTGGATAATTGTCCCTGTCAGATCTCCCTTTACCGCCTGCTCCTGCCGTCGGATCAGATAACCACCCGCCTCCCGCCCCTCGGCAGGCGCAGTGTGGGCAGGCGCTGTGTGGTCAGGTGCTATGTGGACAGGTGCAGTGTGGGCATGTGGGCAGGTGAAGTGTGGCCAGGTGTTATATGGGCAGGTGCAGTGTGGACAGGTGCAGTGTGGGCATGTGGGCAGGTGCAGTGTGGGCAGGAGCAGTACAGTCAGGTGCTGTGTGGGCAGGCACCATGTGGCAGGTGCTATGTGGGCAGGCACTATGTGGGCAGGTGCTATGTGGACAGGTACAGTGTGGGCAGGTGCAGTGTGGACAGGTGCAGTGTGGGCAGACACTATGTGGGCAGGTGCAGTATGGGCAGGTGCAGTATGTGCAGGCGCTGTGTGGGCAGGTGTTGTGTGGGCAGGTGCTATATGGGCAGGTGCAGTGTTGGCAGGTGCTATGTGGGCAGGTGTTGTGTGGGCAGGTGCAGTATGTGCAGGCGCTGTGTGGGCAGGTGTTGTGTGGGCAGGTGTTGTGTGGGCAGGTGCAGTATGGGCAGGTGCTGTTTGGGCAGGTGCTGTGTGGGCAGGTGCTATATGGGCAGGCGCAGTGTTGGCAGGTGCTGTATGGGCATGTGGCAGTGTTGTGTGGGCAGGTGCAGTATGGGCAGGTGCAGTGTGGCATATGGGCAGGTGCAGTGTGGGCAGGAGCAGTACAGGCAGGTGCTGTGTGGGCAGGCACCATGTGGGCAGGTGTTGTGTGGACAGGTGCAGTGTGGGCAGGTGCTGTGTGGGCAGGTGCTGTATGGGCATGTGGGCAGGTGTTGTGTGGGCAGGTGCAGTATGGGCAGGTGCTGTTTGGGCAGGTGTAAAATTCACTGTGCATCCTGTACAGTTCGTTTCAAAATAAAACGCATTCTGTTACCAAATTAAAACATATTTTCAAATAACATTAACATACAAATAAACACACACAATAAAGTCACAGCAAGGTGCTAAGTGGGCAGGTGCAGTTTAGGCAGGTGCAATGTGGGCAGGTGCTGTGTGGGCAGGTGCAATGTGGGCAGGTGCAGTGTGGGCAGGTGCAGTTTGGGCAGGTGCTGTGTGGGCAGGTGCTGTGTGGGCAGGTGCGGGCCCTGACATGCTCACATAAACAGTTGTCTTTCACTCGCTCAAACAGTGAAGGATCAGAGACGGGGGCCCTAACTCAACAGGGGAGGCGCAGTGTGGGCAGGTGCTGTGTGGGCAGGTGCAGTGTGGGCAGGTGCAGTTTGGGCAGGTGCGGACCCTGACATGTTCCAGATCTCACATAAACATTTGTCTTTCACTCACTCTGTGCACAAATAGAGACTGATCAGAGACAGGGGCCCTAATTCTGCAGGGCACAGGACCGATGCTGTGTGGACAGGGGGTGTGTTTGCAGGTGCAGTGTTGGCAGGTGCAGTGTGGGCAGGTGCTGTGTGGGCAGGTGCAGTGTGGGCAGGTGCGGGCCCTGGCGTGCTCCGACGCGGGGGCCCAAACGCTGAAAGTCGACTGCGGCTCTCGGGGAACAGGTAAATGCGTTTGTGATAAAACAGAATGAGGAAACAGATTTGCTTTTAAAGTCGAAGGAGATGAAATGAGACTTAATCTGCACAAACATCTTTTATTCATCTTGACGTTGTGCGAGAGCGAGAAAAGAAGTCCATTGTAATTAAAAGTATCGGTCACTGCACCTATACGTAGAAATGTTTGTGTTTTAAGGTGATATAGACATTTTCTCATAACAAACAAATATACAGATTTTGTGTATGGATCTATGACTGTTTTAATTATTATAGTGCATTTGAGATTAAATTTTTCTAATTTTTATAACAGAAAATAGTAGGGATGTAACAATAACCAAAAAAATCATGATATCGTATCGTCAAAGTTCTCACAATAATATCGTGGACCATAACAATATATCGAATTACAAGTTTCTTTGCTTAAATTAAGAGTTATGGTGCAGCAGTAGCTAAAAAAAGACAAAGGGAACTACATAGACCATGATCCTTTGCTCCATTTCAGTGCAGACTACAAGAAGAAATAACAGTTCTAACACTTTTAAGTCTTAGTTCTTTGGATTAAGTCTTGTCAAGGCGTTTTAAGAGGAAAAAGTAGCGTATTTAATTTTGTTAACCTCCAAAAAATATCGCAATAAATATCGTAAAGTGGGATGTATATCGTGAAAATATCGTACAGAGAGATTTGGATATTGTTACCCCCTGGAAAATGCACATTGCAGTTTGGTCCGTGTACCATTTGTTCTTTTGAATTTCAATTATTATTTGTAGTTGCTTTCAAATAACACCCATCAAAAAACAGTCTCAGTGCCTATTTAAATTTTTTTTATTTTATTTATTTTTATCTCTGAAGTTCTGCTGATGGAAGGACTTACCTGAAAAATCGTTGCAATTTTGTGGAAAAAACTTGTCGTCTTCTTTAATAGCGACGCGTTTACTTTTTACCTTCGTGTTTCAGAAAGTCATTGAGTTCGTATACATGCACATCAATAACCCGGTTCTGTCAGTATTCGTGTTACTGTGTTTACATGCGCACTGAGAAACCGGGACACTCATATCCGCGTATACATGATCAAATGGAGTATCCCGGTTTCTTGACATAATCTTACAAATGCGCAGGCGCAAAAATTTACTTAAATCAATTTCATAAACCAGGAAAAATACAAACCGTGAGCTCCTTTAGCATAAGAAGCTAAGGAGCTACGAGATCTCCCACAATCCACTGCGCAGATTCTTCATTAAAATCTTCTGCATAAATAAACTCAACTTTACAACATATAAACCATAAACACTATAGACACATCAGCCCGTTTGATCAGATAATTCAGCTGTGATCACATTTGTTTACGTTTTACAGAAACGAAACTTAAGACCGTTTGGCTAATTAGCATAAACTGTTAGCGGCGATAAAAACAACTCGCTCCTTGTGCCGCTGATGCGATCAGTTTCTTTTGGACTAAATGACACGACTCTGTGGATTATGTGTGTTATTTCTGTGACAGAAGAGGTGCTGATGATGGTAAGTGTGTTTCGTGCGTATAGAGTATAGGAGATAGTTCATGTTTTAGCTTTTCAGCGTCACACGAGTGCAGGTCGTACGAGTGCAGATTGTACGTGTGCAGGTTTAGCGCAGCTCTTTATTTTACAGTCATTTCACTCGTTTGGTCACTTTATTTATGTTGGTCAATTTATTTATGTGACTACTGTTTGTGAAAGGTGAAAGTGTCTTTTGGACGCATGCACACTCAACTTTATGTTGCAGTAACCGGGGTACTGCGTATACATGCCACAAGTATCCCGGTTACTATCGGAATAAACCAGCTACAGTAACCCGGTTTCTAATAACCGGGATACTGCCATAACCGGGTTACTGAAACCGGGTTACTGCGTTTACATGCACCATCAACAAACCGGGATACTGAAAAAACCCGATCATAACCGGGTTATTGATGTGCATGTATACGCACTCATTGTTGAACTCCATGACGAGAAACAGGAAGCTGAGTTATTGCTCTGGCTGGAATGTTCCACAGTGGCATAAAATACTGTATATCCATGGAGAGAAGCAGGTGAAGTGTTGGCAAAGATACACCTCCACTTCAATAAATGCAAAATAGAAAAGTTCAATAGTAAACTGCGGAATGTTGAATGTACTGGAGCCTCTAAGAGAAAAGTGACCTAGTCCACCTTTAAGTTTACGCTTTTGTCAGAGGTTGTGCTTTATGTAAGAATCACTGAGGCAGGACGTGTTTATAAGAAGCAGGTCTATAAGATTCATTCATTAACAGTGTTGGGGAGTAACAGATTACATGTACCAGAGTTATGTAATCAGAGTACAAATTATGAGTAACTGTATTCAGTTACAGTTACTGTTTCAGTGAGTGGTAATTGGATTACAGTTACTTTGTTGAAATAAATGGATTACATGGCGGGATTTTCCTGTTTTCACATTTTGGGCTAAATCCCCTCCTCTTTTTTTTTTTTTTTTTTTTTTTTCGGTAATTCCACTCATTGCTGGAAACTAAACCAGGTCCAAACTAGATCTAAACCAGGTCTAAACCAAGACTAAAACCAGGTCTAAACTAGATCTAAACCAGGTCTAAACCAAGACTAAAACCAGGTCTAAACTAGATCTAAACTAGATCTAATCCAGGTTAGTCCTAGATCTAAACCAGGACTAAAACCAGGTCTAAACCAGGTCTAAACCCAGACTAAACCTGGACTAAACCAGGACTAAACTAGATCTAAACCAGGTCTAAACCAAGACTAAAACCAGGTCTAAACTAGATCTAAACCAGGACTAAACCAGGCCTAAAACCAGGTCTAAAAACAGGTCTAAAACCAGGTCTAAACCAGGACTAAACCAAGACTAAACCAGGACTAAAACCAGGTCTAAACTAGATCTAAACCAGGTCTAAACCAGGTCTAAAACATGTCTAAACCCAGACGAAACCTGGACTAAACCAGGACTAAACCAGGTCTAAAACCAGGACTAAAACCAGGTCTAAAAACAGATCTAAAACCAGGTCTAAACCAGGACTAAATCATGCTGTGTGGACGTGTCTCCTCCTTTTCTATCAATAATATTTTTAATACGTTTAAATAAAGTCTGGGCTTTTTATTTTCTTTTATCAGACAAAACATCTCATGTTATGATTTCCTCATCTTTTTTTCTCTACAGTAAATCAAATAATCCAAAGTATTCAGATTACATTACTCACTTTAAGTAATTTAATGGATTACGTTACAAACTACATTTTGGGGTGTGTAATCTGTAATCTGTAGGGGATTACATTTTAAAAGTCACCTTCCCAACACTGTTCATAAACTTTCCTTTGTTCAGTTGACTTCATAGAACTATAATAAAAATAGTTTTTATTATAAATCCATGGTCGACACTGCAGCAGAACTTCCGGGGCAAATAAACCAGAGAATAAATATCAAAATTAAAAAAGGCACCGAGACCGTTTTGTGATTGGTGTTATTTGAGATCAACTTTAAATTAAACATTGGCAATAGAGGTCAAAATCTGTTTTTTGTTGTTTTTTGATACTCAAACGGAATAATGAAATAACAAACTGTTTCCCCATTTTACTGTTTTTGTTTCTTAATTGAAAGTCAAAAGAACAAATGGTACACAGACCCAACTTGGACATTTGAACATTTGTAGACTTTGCCGTTATGAGACCAAATACTTTCATTTCCACTGCGCTTTAGATTCTGTGATTCTGCTCATTACATTCATATCCTTAATAAAAAAGTGCTTTTAAAATAATAAAAACTTGGGAGGTCCAAAGAACTGCAGTGTGGTTCTGTTTTTTTTTTTTCTTTTCTACATGTTTTGCCTTTGGACCCAGCACGACGCAGATCCAACTTTTATCAGATGAACATGTTTCTATCTACCAGAACTTCATAATAACGAAAATGTTCAGTGAAATGTTAATGTTGATCTTTGAGGGGGTCTTCAGTGTTTTTAACGCTCCCGAACTGAAAGAGAAATTCACTTTGTTTCAGTTAAATCAAGTTTCTTTTGTCATTTATGTCATTGTTTGAATAGATTTGTCCAGAATTTTATTTGTGGTTCGGTGTCTAAATCATGAAGCCTGTAATACTCCCTACAACTGCGCAAAAACTCATCTTTATGTAACAGATAATACTCCCTACAACTGCACAAAAACTCATCTTTATGTAACAGATAATACTCCCTACAACTGTACAGATAACACTCCCTACAGCTGTACAACAACTCACCCTTATGTAACAGATAAT